GTCATGGACCCCCCCCCTCCCCTCCCCTCCCCTCCAGGCACACAGCCTGCTCATATTTTCAACACCAGCAATCAGCTTTGTGAGGGCAACAGTGGCACAGATTCCCCACAAAAGATCCCAGCATTCCTTTGACGGGGTGAATACTAGACCCTTTATTCATCCGTGTCCCATTTTCCTCAGAAGACATCCTTTGCCAGAACACCCATTATTTCAGCATGTATTAGCATTATGATTGACAAATTGGAGATTTTTTCATTTGAATGAAATTACAGAATGTCTGCACAGGAGCATACACTTAATTATTGCTAATTATTTCATTCTTTAAATCACCCTTCATCACTTCCTGGTAAACAGCTGCTCTGCATTTTGCACAATTTCCTATGACTCATCAACATGCAATACAATTTAGACAGCAAATAAATATCTATGTCAATATGTATGATGGATGACTTAACTAAGTCCACACACCTCTTTAAACAACTCTCATACAGTCTTTGGCTCCAGCATAGAGTGCCATAGTGACACCCTAATAAGAAAACAAAGCCCAGAGACCAGGATGCAATTACAGGCCATAATCAATCCTCAACAGAGTAGGCAACAAAAACAATTGCCCTGCTCTTTGTCTCTATGGGTTCCTTCTTTTGTTCAGCTCTGAAACAAGACCTACCTGTCTGGGCTGAGCGTTCAGGTAAGGCTCGAACTCATCATCATTCAAAGTATCCTTTTGGGTAACAGCTCCGTTTTGCACTGGAAAGCAAAAGATACAGAACGTTAGAGAACATAATCCGTTTCTTTTTACTTGCTTTCTTTAAAAAAAAAAAATTTAAAAAATGATGTGATAGTTGTAATATTAGGCCAAAGCTAAATGCTTCCCAAGGCACAAAACCAAAAGTCATGGTGCATTTAAGTACCTCAGGGATGTTTGTATTTACGAGTTGGGAAGTCCTAATTACAACGTCAAGTGCATTCAAATCCCTTTCGTCAGCGCGAGATGCCTATGAAACTTTCAACAAAATATAGTTTTGTTTTTAGTTTTTTTTTTAACTCTACTTCTACAAAATGAATTAAATGTGCACCAGGTGTGTTTCTGTATGTTTTTAATCAATTTAGGAAGTACAACAACATTGCATATTGCACAAACAACTTAGCTAGTTTTATTGCAAATAAATTTACCATTAGCTACAGATGCTGTACCCATTGTCTACCATGTTCAACTCAAAAACTTGAGGCTCTTTCCCACTCATAATTATGACTTTGGTGGTGTTCAACTTGTAAATACAATCTTTTCGACATGACTTGAACACACCATCAGATCAATGCACCTGCTGCTGAGATCAACGTGTACATGAAACACTGAATATCACCAAACTTAAATTTCTAAGAAATAGCTTGACTCAAACAGAAGGCATCTCATCTTAAACAGAAAATACAATCTGACAAACTCTTTTCAGTCAGACACTGTATTTTACTAAAGTGTCAGATGTTCATTTATCACAGCCAAATTTAGTAATAGTCTTAAATATGTCATCAAAATTTAATGTTTATTCTATTGCAGTTAACTTACACATTATATAGTAATCATTGTATTCAGCTTATACTGGCCCCGTTTTATTATTTCCCCATCTTTTGTCACTTTGTGTCTGTTGTTAATAGTGTATTTAATTAATATTGTAAGCCAAAACAATGTCAGTAAAGCACTTCTATTAATTGCAAATGGACTAAAAATAAATAAATAAAAAGCTCTCACATCTTATCCACGTGGTCACATGCACTGATTCAACACGCAACTGGAATGTGAAAGATCGATACACTACGATACACTACTGAGTGTGGTGCTGAAAATCCCCTCAACAGGTTCCTCTTGGCAGCGTTTAGACCCCCGCCTCTTGGCCACCGTTACAGATGATGATTTTAAGTTTAAGTGAGATATCTTCAGCACTAAACTTTAAGAAAACACCCCAAAACAGCATTCAAGCAGAGTGTAGGTGGGTGTTCAGGTGCTTGAGTGTCACGCGTTCAGCTGTACTCGGCCTCTCGAACGTAACGTTACTGTGCTAGGCGGCTAACTAGCGTGGGCTCCAAACAAGCTCCCCTTACATATGTGAGAAACTAAAACCAACCCGATTCTCTACTATAAGACTATTTGTTTTTTAATTCCGCGTGGGATTGTTTTAAGAAGGTTTAACGGTTGAAATAATAGGGAATCGGTATGAACACTCGGCCTGCTAACAAGCAGCACCAACACGAGTCTCTTATAACAGCACACAAAAATGGCACAGCAGCACTTCACCTACCTTTGTTTGTTTGGCCTTTCGGTCTCTGGATTGGGTCCAGGTGATTCATGAAGGAGTGAGTTTGGAGAGGAAAGAGGGAGAATAAATGAAGGTTTATATGAAGCTCAGGCCTGAACTCGCGTTGCGAGAGAGAAAAAACCCCCCGCTCCGACGCCACTTCTGCTCAATGTTCACAAAGTGCCGCTGTTTACCTGCTCCAGAAGGCTGCTGGCTGACATTTCTCTCTCCCCGGAGCCTGTGTGTTAGCCTGCGCGTTTGTTTGCGGGTTAAAGTCAACGGGAAATGAATGTGTTTTTAGAGTCTTTACGCCCGTCTCTCTCTCTTTCTCTATCTCTCTCTCTCTCGCTACAGATGCAGATCAGAAACACAATGGCGGGCTGCAGTTCCTCCACACTTCAACATGGCCGAGCGGCCGTCGCACGTTTATTCACGGCGGTACAGCGCCACCCTACGGCTGGGAGGAGGAGGATGAATATGTGCGTGATGGGGAATCTTCATCTGATATTTAGACAGTTATAAATATGCTTTAGTAGTAGTACTCGTTCTTTATTGCGGTGCTACGCATAAAAATGTGTTTTCCCTTTTATACAGTAAATTGTTTTTATATCCCGGTTATTAATATCTAATATTTATAAAACATATGTTTTATATACATTTATAAACATGTTTATAATTTTTTTTATTGTACATCTGTTCATATGACTTTATTCTTTTACATATTCGATGTTTTATGGAGTGATATGGAACCCGTTCAATTCGGAGCTGAAAGTGACTGGCTGCACTGAAGCGGCAGTAACCCACCAGTCCGGATCACGGTCATTTGAACACTTTATTTGTGATAAACCTCCCTAAAATGTCCACAGTTTAAAAGACTAGACTTATAATAATATATTAATAATCATAAAATAATATAGTTAATTGCAGAGACAGTGGTAGGGAACGCGTTAAACTCGGAGCGCTCTTGCGGCTGGCCGATTGAGCAGCCAGTACAAGCGGCAATAACCTGCCAGTCTGGATCACGGCCATTTGTCAAATGGCATTTGAACACTTTATTTGTGATAAACCTCCCTAAAATGTCGATCATGTAAAAGAACAGACCCATAAGAATGAATTCATAATCATAAAATAATATATTTCCTTGCAGAGAGAGTGGTAGAGAACGTGTTATACTGGCAGCTTCATAGCGGCTGGCTAGACTAAAGTGTCAGTAACCCACCAGTCGGGATAACAGTTATTTGACCACTTTAATCGGGATAAACCTCCCTAAAACGTATATCATATAAAATGATAGATTCATATGAATATAGCCTATACATAATAATAAAATAATTTATTTTCTTGCAACGGGAGTGGTAGAACGCGTTAATCTTTAAGTTTAACAGTGACTGGCTGGATGAGCGGCCAGCGAAGCGTCAGTAACCCACCAGTCGGGATCACGGCAATTTGACGGCTTTAATCGGGATGAATCTTCCTTAAACGCCAATCATATAAAATAATAGATTCACACGAATGCATTAATAATAATAAAACAATGAATTAAATTGTAGTGAGAGTCATATGGAACGCGTTAAACTCGCAGCTCAATAGCAGCTGGCTAGACTGAAGAGTAGGCAACCCACCAGTCGGGATCACGATCATTTGAACACTTAAATCAGGATAAAACCCCCTAAACCGTATATGATCTTAAAGAATAGATTAATGAGAATATATTTATAATAATAATAATAGTAATGCATTTCCTTGCAGCTAGAGTGGTAGAGAACGCGTCAAAATTAGAGCTCAATTGCCACTGGCTGGACTGAGCGGCCAGAGAAGCGTCAGACCCACCAGTCGGGATTACGGCCATTTGTCTCCTTTATTCAGGATAAACCTCCCTTATACGCCTATGATATAAAAGAATACATTCATAAGAATACATTAATAATAATAAAACAATGAATTTCATTGCAGTAAGAGTCGTTAAACTGGCAGCTGGCTGGACGGAAGCGGCAGTAACCCACCAACCGGGATCACGGCCATTAGACTACTAATTAAACCTCATTACATTCAAAAGAACATATTCACAATAATAAAATTATGCATTTCCTTGCAGCAGGAGTGGTGGGGAACGCATAGGCATACTCATAGCTTAAAAAGTCTGACTGGAGGAAACTGTTATAGGAGGACATGAACGCAAATAATATATTAATTGACTCAAAGTTGTTTACAAAAACAATGTAGAAATAACAAAAATAAAATCAGAATGATTTCCTTGGAAGCAGAGGCTGGAGAGGCTGGCTGGTTGAGCGTCCAACAAAGCATCAGTAAGCAACCAGCCGTGATCACGTTGCTTTAGTTGGTTTAGTTGGGGAAAAAAACCTAAAAGGTCAATCATCCAAAAAAACAGAGTCATAAAAATATATTCATAATAAAATAGTGTATTTCCTTGCAGGGAGAGTGATAGGGTAGGCGTTCTACTCGCAGATCTACAGCGGCTGCCTGAAGCTGCCACTGGCACCTGCCAGCCAGCCACTGGCAGCTCCCCCCAGCCACTGGCAGGTCACATGACGGTCAGTGGCGGCTCCTGCCAGCCAGTTGAAGATTGAACACCCTCTCCAGCATTGCTAGGCATAAAATAAATTATATATTACATATAGTTATATATAATATTTATAATACATAATTGTAAAATATATAATAAAAAAAAATAATATAAGTTAATTTTCTAAATCCCCTGTTAGTTCTTCTTCTTCTTCTTCTTCTTCTTCTTCCATTATTATTATTATTAAGCCAATTCCTTAACATCATCTTGAAAGAAAAAACATTCTGATGAGAAAAAACAACTGCAAAAACATCTGGATGTATTGGGTAGATTTGATGAATTCTGTGGTATTTGCTTGTTTGTCTCAGTTTAAAAATATCCTGAAATTGAAGAGCTTGATATGTTATCATCAACATTTAAAAAAGTGGCTAAAATATCAAACTTATCTGATATAAAAAAAAATTGACACCCTTGTGTAAGTTATCTCTCACTGTGCTTACTTTATTTCTATCCTGTTATGAACAGGAATGAAGAAAAAGATAAATAAAAGATAAATAAAACCTGCCCATTTTTGTGCTAATATAATGACTTTATATTGTATTTGTTTGCTGTGACTGTATGAGAGCCCCAGTAGAAATAATATCTGCACTGTCACTTGTAGGCCACTAGATGTCATTATTATGCAGCAAATTGATATGAGTCAGTTCATTGGCCAATACAATATGGAATGCCATCCCTGCCATAATTATAAATAAATAAATAAAGAAAGAAATGTGCAAAGAAATGTAAAAAAGCAAATATAAATAAATAAATACATAAATATACAAATTTAATTTCCTTATTTATGTATTTTTTCCCACATTTATTTATTTTTTATTTTATTTATTTATACGTTTATATATTTCCACTTTTATTTATTTTCACATTTATGTATTTATTTACATATTTATGTATGTATTTATTTATTTATTTCCACATGTATTTATTTATACATTTATTTATTTATACATTTCTTTGTCCGTAGGGTAATGAGTAGGGCTGGGTTTTGACACAAATTTCACGATTCGATTCGATTCTCATTCACAAGCTTTCGATTCGATTCGATTACCAATTCGATTTGATTCGATTCAATATCGATTATTTTGGATATATATCAGGTACAGTACTTGCCAAATTTTCTCAAGAATAAAAAATCTCAACTAATGCTGTAAAATATACATGAGAGTCAGTTGGTACTACATTACTATAATATTGAAGGTTAAAATT